CTGATTTCTTCCACCTCCATGGCTTCAATGAAATCTCTAAACCCTTGCAAGCTTCTCTCAGATCTTGGGATCCCTCATTTCTTATCTTCTCTGCTCAGTAAATCGCTCCAATCACCGATTATAAACCATTTTGATCCCCAACTAGCTTTATCCCTTTCCAACTGCTTCCATTGATCATACCTAGTTTGATGACAGGTATTGATATATACAAAGATCCCCCAAGCTTTGTCTGTGTTTTGGTGTGAGTACTCCACCGCAATGTAAAAGTCAGTGTTCATTACTTGATGGATGTGTACCTCCACTGACCACATCAATAACAATCCCCCACTGTTGCCAATTGGATTTACTATTAAGCATATATTATCAAATCCAAGCTTTCTTACCACTGTGTTGACAAAACCAGCTTGCTTTTTTGTTTCTTAAAGAAATACAAAGGCTGGGTGGTGAGTCCTGCATGACCCTCGCATTTGGGAAACTGTAGAGGGCCCACCCAACCCTCTACAGTTCCACACCACAGCTAACATCGTTCACTTGGGTGCCACTCAAGGCTGGCCACCCCCACCTGTGCAGTTGAGCCTTTTCTTTTCTTTCTTCATTCTGAATGATCCTGTTGAGTTTCATCTCCTAGAATTGTGTTTGATATTTCAGATGCTGCTCTATTCTTTTTGCCACTGAGGTGCAAGTTGTGTTGAGCTGGATTGTCTTCTTGCCTTATAGTCTTCCTTCATTTGCTGAAGATCTCTTCCACACCTTAGCCTTTCCTTTTATTAGAGTCAGGGCTGTTTGTGATGTTTCTGGCAGAGGCGAGTATGTTTCAATGTCCATAGCTTTTGGTATTTCAATTGGAGGGTTAGGGAGTAGCTGTGTGTCATGTGTGAGTTCTTTGGTATCTCTGTGATTATTGGTTGATTTATGAAGGATGATGGCAAGGGTTTCTGAGCTATTCGAAGTTGGTTCAGTAAGATTTTTGTGATGAATGGCTTCTGATGGTTGTATTTGCTGGCTTTCTTCAACTTGACTGCTGGATTTTGGTATGGTTGTTTCCCTAATTGGGGAAGAAGTCTTATCTGATCTCTGTGGGCTTCTTGAGTCTGATGCGTTGATCCCAGCCCAGTGATAGCCATCTGCTGCTCTCATCCAGTCCCCGTATTCCCCTTCCTTTACTGAGTTATTGCGGATATCTTCCATTCTTTTTGTACATCCCCGCTCTAAGTGTCCAATGTAACCACAATAATGACAGTGGTTGACTAATTTTCATATTTGAAGCCTGCATTAACTGTTTGGCCTCCTAGTCTCAAATTAACACATCGTGGTAAAGCTTCTTGCAAATTAACTGATACCAGCAGCCTTAATATTCTACCCCCATGATTTCCAGCTCCAACCACGACAACATTATGTACTGCTCGGAATACCGTCCCTATTTTTAATCTTACTTCTGTGCTGAGCCAATTTAAAGGGACATTGTATACCTGAACCCACAGCTTCAGTTCTTGAAAGGACTTGTGATTGCTTGTGAGGCCTTGTTGCCATTCTGTAAAAACTAGGTATTGATTTTCAAATACCCAGTTAACTCCTTTAGCTACCTTTTCTAAGTCATCTCGACTTTGGAAGATGAATTGAAAGAAGTTGCCCCGAAGCTCTTTGATTTCCATAGTTTGTTGCAATCTCCAGATTTGGGTCATCGTGCGTTTTACTCCTATCCAGCTTGCCTTCCGGTCACCAATGATTTTTCCGAATAGGCTCCTGTGGCATTCTTCATCACTGACTCTAATATCGTCTTGAACTATGTCAATGAAATTGTTTTCTCTCATCTGCTTTTTGCAGATGACTCACTATTCTTTTGCAGGGCCAGTAATGATCAAGAAATCATTCTTCTCAACCTACTGGAAAGATATAGACTGTTTACAGGACAAAAGGTCAATATGCAGAAGTCAAAAATTTTTTTTCAGTAGAAATACACCTGCCTACCTGCAAGAAATAATTTGCCATACCCTGCAAGGCATCACTGCTCACAAGTCTACCAGGTACCTAGGGCTTCCCCTAGGAATTGGTAAATCCAAAAGAGAAGCCTTTCAATTTGTATTAGATTCAGTCAAATCAAGGCTTCACAGTTGGAAATCAAAGCTACTTTCTCAAGCAGGCAAGGAAGTGCTCCTAAAAGCAGTAATACAATCATTGCCAATATATCCTATGTCTTGTTTCAGACTTCCTGCCACTCTATGTGCTGAAATTTCAAACCTCTGCTCTCTTTTTTGGTGGAGCAAAAAGGAAGATCTAAATAGAAGCATTCATTGGAAAGCATGGAGCCATCTGACCTTATCAAAAGAAGCAGGAGGGCTGGGATTCATTGATATAAAAAACTTCAACATTGCCCTGATATGCCCAGAGCTTTGAAATTTCAGCACATAGAGTGGCAGGAAGTCTGAAACAAGACATATGATATATTGACAATGATTGTATTACTGCTTTTAGGAGCACTTCCTTGCCTGCTTGAGAAAGTAGCTTTGAATTCCAACTGTGAAGCCTTGATTTGACTGAATCTAATACAAATTGAAAGGCTTCCCTTTTGGATTTACCAATTCCTAGGGGAAGCCCTAGGTACCTGGTAGACTTGTGAGCAGTGATGCCTTGCAGGGTATGGCAAATTCTTTCTTGCAGGTAGGCAGGTGTATTTCTACTGAAAAAAAATTGTTGACTTCTGCATATTAACCTTTTGTCCTGTGAACAGTCTATATCTTTCCAGTAGGTTGAGAAGAATGATTGCTTGATCATTACAGGCCCTGCACAAGAATAGTGAGTCATCTGCAAAAAGCAGATGAGAGATAACTGGACTATTCTTTGACATATTCAACCCAATCAGATCCCCTGTTTCAACAACATTAGTGATTAAAGCTGAAAGCATTTCTGCTACTATTATGAATATATATGGGGATAATGGATCTCCTTGCCGAACTCCCCTTGTTGGGGTTACATATCCACTCACTTCTCCATTTATTTTGAAGGAAAATGTGCTAGAAGAAATACAGACCATGATAAGATGCACAAACTCCCTCTGAAAACCCATTTGCAACATAATTTTCTTTATGCAAAGCCATTCAACTCGATCAAATGCCTTGACCAAGTCCAGTTTTAAAGCCATAAAGTGATTTTTCCCAGATGAATGCCTGTTCAGAAAATAAAAAGCCTCTTGCCCTATAATGATGTTATCAAATATCTGTTTGCCTTTGACAAATGCAGATTGAGTCAAACTGATGCAAGAACCCAGACAAGATTGTAATCTCAAGCCAAGATTTTTGAAAGAATTTTGTACACAACAGTACAGAGGCTAATTGGCCTAAATTGAGAAAGAGTTTCTGGATTTGAAGTTTTGGGAATTAGAGTTAAGACAGTATGATTCCAGTATTTTAGCAGAGAACCATTTTCATTAAAAAAAACTGGACACTGCTTCTATAAGATCAGCTTTGATGATATCCCAAAACTTTTGATAAAATAAAGTCGTCATACCGTCTTCTCCCGGAGTTTTTTCTGGATTTAGACTGAAGAGTGCTGTTCTGATCTCTTCGTCATCCACTAGTTTGAGCAGGGCTTGATTATCCTCTGTGATGATTGAAGGTTTGATCAAATGCAACATTGAGTCACCTCCTCATGACCCTTCTGATGAAAATAAGGTTGAATAGAAATCAGCAATGTGAGCTTTAATCTGTTGTGGGGTTGTGCATTCTCTGTTTGTGTGTGTGAGCAGCCTCGTTATTGCATTTTGTTTTCTCCTGGAAAGTGTATAGGCGTGGAAGAATCTGGTATTCTTGTTTCCTTCTTTGAGCCAATGAATTCTGGCCTTCTGTTGCCAAAAAAATCTCTTCCATCTTGTAGGCCTTTTCCAGTTCTTTTCTGGTGGAGTTCCAATCTTCCCAGTTTTCATTGATTTTATCTTCTTGAAGAGCTTCTAACTTCTTTGTGAGGCTGTCAATTTGAGACTGGTTCTGTGTTTTCAAATTGGCACTCCATATTAATAGAGCCTTCCTGGTGTTTTTAATCTTCTCTTTAAGCTTGTAAAAACGAGTGCCATGTGTGGGGATTAACCAGGCTTTTTGCACCACCTCCTTGATGCCTTCTTTGGAGAGCCATCTCTTGTCGAAATGGAACCTGCTCTTTGTTTTTCCTTGTTTATTTCCTGTGGTGAGGAGTATCATGGAGTGATCTGAACCGCTTCTTGCTTTAGTCAAGATAGATGCATTGGGGAATTCAGCCATCTAGTCCATTGAGCCAAATCCTCTATCTAGGACTTCTTCTACCATGCCCTCAGAGTTTCTGTTGTTGCACCATGTGTATCTGTAGCCCACCATTCTGATTTCTTCCACCTCCATGGCTTCAATGAAATCTCTAAACCCTTGAGCTTCTCTCAGATCTTGGGATCCCTCATTTCTTATCTTCTTTGCTCAGTAAATCGTTCCAATCACCGATTATAAACCATTTTGATCCCCAACTAGCTTTATCCCTTTCCAACTGCTTGCATTGATCATGCCTAGTTTGGTGACAGGTATTGATAAATACAAAGATCCCCCAAGCTTTGTCTGTCTTTTGGTGTGAGTACTCCACCGCAATGTAATAATAATAATAATAATAATTATTATTATTATTATT